AAAAAAAAAAAAAAAAAAGGCTGTGCATGTGTCCAAATGCTTGAACAAGTACTTGATAGAAGCCCTAGGGTTCTGGTCCATAAAGGATGACTGATGAACTTTAAATGGGGTGCTTTTGAGTTCAGGAGAACCGAATACCTACCACTATCATAGAAGAACCTTATAAATCCTCCCAAACAGATTTTATTTTGAACAGATTGTGTTCTGATGAGCTTTCCAGAATAAAGTAGCTGCAAAATGGGGCCCCAGATACTTAATTTAGAGAAGCTGCTTCATATAATTGCTTAGAATTCTTTTTTTGGATACTACGTTGCATCTGCCAGAGTTAGTAAAAGGGGTTTTGGCATGCTACTATTTAGATGGTTTTTTTTTTGTGAGAGTAATAAGTGTTTATTCAGCACATATTTGTGGGTTACAATTATGTATTCATCAGACAGGTTAAGCTTCAACAAAAGTTTGTTCACCAATTAGCCAGGCTCCAGTTCTCAGGAATTTTCTAATTCTTGAATTTTGGGAATTTCAGGAAAGAGAACAGGAGGGCTGTTCCATTTAAGAGAATGGTGGGGATTGGGTCAAGGAAAATTTTGCTAGTCCATGCTCCTTGTCCTTATGGGAACACATGATTTGCTGGTTTGGGTCCATGCTGTATGCCACCCCCACCCCCGTATTCTTCCTAACAGCATACATTCCTAAACCTCTCATCGTAATCATCCCATTTATGAACCTACGAACACTCTTTCCTTAGTGACTTTTAGGGACTTAAAGTATACGTTCATTGGCTGACTTCACATTACCTACATGGTTCAAATTTCTTCTCATAACTCTGCCATGAGTCTTATGCCCAGCTGTGCTCAAACTGGAGCTGATGTGTTCTCATCCCAAAAGAATGGCTGGTGCTTCTCAGTAGAGAATGTTGTTGACAAGGATGTGGATGAAAAGGAACCCTTGTGCACTGTTGGAGGGAATGTAAGTTGGTGCAGCCACTAAAGAAAACAGTATGGAGGGTCCTCAAAATATTAACAATGGAAATATTATATGATCCAATAATTCCACTCCTGGGTATTTATCCAAAGGGAAAAAACCCACTAATTTGGAAAGATATATGTATCCCTGTGTTTATCGCAGCATTATTTGCAATAGCCAAGATGTAGAAGCAACCCAGATAAATGGATAAAGAAGAGTGGTATATTTAGACAATGGAATTTTAAGCAGCCACAAAAAAGGATGAGATCTTGCCATTTGTGACAACATGATGGACCTGGAGGGTATTATATAAGTGAAGTAAGTCAGATGGAGAAAGACAGATAACATATGGTTTCATTTATATGTGGAATCTAGAAAACAAAACAAATGAATAAACAAAGTAGAAACAGATCCATAAATACACAGAACAAACTGGTGGTTGCCAGAGAGGAGGGGAGTGGGTGGGGGGATAGGCAAAAAGGGTAAAAGAGAGTGAGAGATACAAGCTTCCAGATAATGGAATAAGAGATGGGGATAAAAGATACAGCACAGGGAATATAGTCAATGGCATTGTAATGTGTTATATGGTGACCGATGGTAGATACACTTGTGATGAGCATAGCATAATGTAGAGTTGTTGAATCCCTATGTTGTACAACTGAAACTAATGTAACATTGTGTGTCAACTCTACTCAAATAAGAAAAAATTTTAGAGAATGTTATTTTTTTTTTTTTAAGATTTTATTTATTTGCGAGAGAGAGAATGAGAGACAGAGAGCACGAGAGGGAGAAGGGTCAGAGGGAGAAGCAGACTCCCCGCCGAGCAGGGAGCCCGATGCGGGACTCAATCCCGGGACTCCAGGATCACGACCTGAGCCGAAGGCAGTCGCTTAACCAACTGAGCCACCCAGGCGCCCAAGAATGTTATTGTTCTTATTTTTTTATTTAGTATTTTCTTTTCTTCCCGCTCTTAAGGCAGGTTTAACAACTTACTTTCATCCTGGAATAAACTTGAAGAAGATACATTATGCTAGCATCAAACTTTATGAGCAGTTGGAAGAAGAAACTGGACAGGTAAATGCATTTAACTTGAAATTGTCTTTTAGGTCAATTTCTCAGAAATATGTAGGATTTCTGAAGAATTTTGATAGGTCATCACTGAAGCTGTGTCTGGTGACATTAATGACATGGGGAATGTTTCTCGTGGTAGAGAAATCTGGTGGCGATTTAAGGTAAGAATCCCAAGTTTGCTTTACGAGCCATTTAATTTCTTGGAGCACATTTCCCATGTAATTAACCACTCTTGATTTTTTTTAAATAAGGAAAGGATACAAAAGCAGCTTTCAAAAATATCTTCAGTCAGTTACTATATCTAGAAACCAAGAAATCAGAGACTTTCAGCAACTGGATTACAAAGGATCTGAGGGCAATGGCTACCAGACTGTCACACAGTTTTGAAAAGTACTTCACTAAAAGCCCCTCATTTTTATTTTTATCTCTTTTCATACTTATAAATGCTCTCAAAATAAAGTGGCAGGTAAAAACTATCCATAGGCTAAGATGGGAGTTTACTTAAATTTTTCACGCTATTTTCCTTGCCTAAAACTATCAAATGGCTCCCCACAGTTTGTAGGCCAAAGGCCAAAGGAGGAGAGTCTTCCTTAGCTGAGCCTTGCCTGCTTTCCAACATTTTCTCTTGCCACTCTTTGCCATGCGCATATGCTTCAACTATTCTTAATTACATATATTTCTGGAATGTGCTGGGCTCTCTGCCTGAAACAGCATCTTCTCAGACCCCATCTCAGTATTCACCCTCCACCCTTCCCTGAGGTCACCCCCTTTGAGAAGCTGTCCTTGACTTTCCCCATCCACCAGTCAGGCTGGCTGAGGGCACGTCTCTTGGTTCTAACAGCATATAACATTATTATTTTTTTTTAAAGATTTTATTTATTTATTTGACACAGAGAGAGAGAGAGAGAAAGTGTGAGCACACAAGCAGGGGGAGCGGCAGGCAGAGGGAGAGGGAGAAGCAGACTCCCCGCTGAGCAGGGAGCCCGATGCGGGACTCGATCCCAGGTGTCTGGGATCATGACCTGAGCTGAAGGCAGACGCTTAACCGGCTGAGCCACCAGGCACCACACATATAACATTCTTATAACACAAATCTCTCTCTCTCTCTCTCTCTCTCTGTTGTGGTAGTTACTTTACTGGTTGGTCTTCCTAGGGACTATGAGAAACTTGAGGGCAAGGAATCCATCTTTTATCTCTGTGACCCAGCGCCTAACTGAGTGCTTGGCCAACTGAAGGACTTCAATAAATGTCAAATAAATGTGTATTTCCATTCACGCTTCAGCTCATCACTGCAACATTCTGATTCTTTATATTCCTTCCTCAAATCCTTGGTCTTTCTTGTTTTCACATGGTTTTCTTTTCCTCTCACATGAACACTGTCCCATGTTGTTGTAATTATGCTCTCAGCTGTCTGCCTTCACCCATACACTGTAAGTGCCATGTAGGCAGACTCTTTGCTTCTTGTTCATAATAGCATCTCTGGGGCTTACAGAGTGTTGGACACAGAGGAGCCGGTGAGTGAGTATTTGCTGAGTGAATGTCTTTGTGTAAGATGCAAAGATTTTATATAGTTATCTCTTGCACTGCTGAGTAAATCTCTCTTCTGTACACTCGCATTTTCGTTGTGCTGAAGAAGAACCATGTTTGAATGCCAAATAATGATTTATTTATGTGTTTTTATTGGCATGATTGTCACAGGTGGTGGGATTCCATCAGCCTGGTAGTATCAGAATTGCCACAACTCCTGTGAGGGTCGATGAATTTAAATATCAGATGACGCGAACCGGCTGGCATGCGACAGAACAGTACATTATTGGGCCTGAAAAAATTCAAGAGATGTTCCCTTTACTCAACATGAATAAGGTATTTATCTTCAGGGTATTTTCACCATTGTGGACTTGAATTAGGTTTAGAAAAAGTTACTTTAAGAAGTTTATTAAAGGTAGAAAAACTGCGCACACATTTGGAATGGCAAAATCAGATGATTAATGCTGGAATCTGGGCATGTAACAAGGTGTACTATTATGTATGCTAAATGAAATATAAAAGCATAATGAAAAAAGCTTAGTTTTCCACCTGTGACAACTGAGGAGGCATTTTCAACACCTTTCTATTACTGTGTCCCCAGATCTAGGGGTTTCCATACATAAACTTCTGTTTGAGAACTGCAGATAAAATAATTACCTAGTATGATAAATATGCATATAGAAAGGCTGTCTTATTAAAACTTTTTACAAAATCAAATTTAGAAGGGCCACTCTATGTTGCTCCACAAATACCATTTAGCTCTTAACTGTACTTCCAACAGGCTCTATATCAGGTATTGATTTAGTTTTAACCAAATTTGGCTGAGAAAATCCTCTTGGGAATTTAGTGTCTTTTTTTTTTTCTTTTTGGCTAGGCAATAATCCCATTCGGATAATAAGCATGACTAACACTATACAACACTACAGCGTAGATTTACGTACCAGGTACTATGCTAGGCCCTTTATATACATAATTCTATTTAATTTTCACAATAATATTATACAATATATATTATTGCTACACAGGAAATTACAGGTTAGATAGTTTACATAATGGACTCAGGCTCATCCGGCTAGAAAGAGATGGAGCAGAGACTTGAAGCCAGGCTCTCTGACTCCATTGTGCACACTACTCAAGTATGCCACCAGATGGCGCTAGTGAGAGAAGCAGGGGCTTACGTTCCTCCCTAGGACCTGAACTGAACTGGGGAGGCACCTTGTATCATTGATCTGGGTGCTGGGGTTGTTTGCCCTCGTGAGTCTATAGGCTGCTGGCCTTCTCTTCTCTGTAGTTTTGTGTGAGTGTGGTTGCAGACTTGAGTTGCATTGTCTGCACTGAAATTCCATCACTGTAAGGTTATGCTTATTATCTGTTTATATGTCACTCTTGGAATGCTTTGCTGGAAGTTCTCACCATCAGAGTTTTCTCAAAGGTATTAGGCAATGGAAATATGTGGAAAGTGTAGTCTCTGGATCTGGGGGCAGGGTGCCAAATCAAATAGATACTGGATTACTGCAATGAGGACATATCCATTATAAAATACCAACATGACATTTGGAAGTCTACAGTAATATGAATTCCATTAAAATCAAAACAAGTCTCGGGGCGCCTGGGTGGCTCAGTCGTTAAGCGTCTGCCTTCGGCTCAGGTCATGATCCCAGGGTCCTGGGATCGAGCCCTGCATCGGGCTCCCTGCCCCGCGGGAAGCCTGTTTCTCCCTCTCCCACTTCCCCTGCTTGTGTTCCTGCTCTCGCTATCTCTCTCTGTCAAAGAAATAAATTTAAAAAATCTTAAAAAAAAAAAAATCAAAACAAGTCTCTTGCACTAAAACTGTAACAAGAGATTGGATTAGTAATCAAAAGCTGCCCACAAAGAAAAGACTGGGCCCAGGTGGCTTCACTGGTAAATTCTACCAGACATTTAAAGAAGAATTAATACTAATCCTTCACAAACTTTTCCAAAAATAGAAGAGAACACTTCCCAACTCATTCTATGAGGCCAGTATTGCCCTGATACCAAAACCAGACAAAGACATCACAAGAAAAGAGAGACAGGTATCCCTTGTGAATATTGGTGCAAAAATCCTTAACTAGCAAACTGAATTTAGCAACATATAAAAAGGATAATGCAGTATGACCAAGTGGAATTTATGCCAGGAATGCAGGGTTGATTTAACATCTGAAAATCTGGGGCGCCTAGGTGGCTCACTCAGTTAAGCATCTGCTTTCGGCTCAGGTCATGATCCCGGGGTGCTGGGATCGAGCCCCGAGTCTGGCTCCCTGCTCAGCAGAGTCTGCTTCTCCCTCTGCTTGTGCTCTTTCTCTCTCTCTCTCTCTGACAAATAAATAAATAAAATCTTAAAAAAATAACATCTGAAAATCAATCAGTTTAATGTGCCACATTAATAGAATGAATAAAGGACAAAAACACATGATCATTTCAATAGATGCAGAAAAGACATTTGACAAAAGCTCCTTGTTCGTATTGGGTGCTCAGTAGATTTCTATTGAATAAATGAGACCTAACTATAATACTGCACAGTGTTCCCTCTATCAGCTTGGTTCATCAGACTGTCATTCTTCTTTGTTTCTCCATGGTACCTAGCCTGAAGTCCTAGTGCAACATAGGTATTCAAGCATTAGTTGTTGAATGACTAAGTCAAGTATACATTTTCCTGACACCTGTATACACTTAACATGTGAACTTGTTAATAGTACTGAACAATGAAATATAAATAATTGATCAATTAGTATTAGACTGACTGCAAATGTCAGAAACCAAAATGATAATGCTTAAACACGATAGAAGTTTCTCTTTCCTTTAGGCAGTCCAGGATTTGAATGGTGGCTATTTTCCATGAAGATTTCAGGAACCCAGTTGCCTTCTAGATCATTGCTCTGTCATTCCTAGGGTGTGACTCCTCTGTCCTTATTCTAGGACGGCAGCAGCTAGAGCTCTGGCTGGCCATCATGTCTGCATTCCAGACAATAGGAGGGAGGAAGGACAAAGAAGGGACAATGGGCACATGCCAGTGGTTTTGTTTTCTTTTATTTTTTAAGTAGGCTTCACACCCAGTGTGGAGTCCAACTTGGGGCTTGAACTCAAGACCCTGAGATCAAGACCTCAGCTGAGATCAAGAGTCAGACACTTAACTGACTCAACCACCCAGGTGCCCCATGCCAATTGTTTTTAAAAAACTATTCATGAAAGCTGCCACATGACACTTTCATTTGTATTTCACTGACCAAAACTTAGTAATACTTCTACCTACCAGTTGGAACTTATAACTGCCAACTATTGGAAATTGTTCCTAGTGGCTATATGTCTAAATAAACATTCAGTTTCCATTGCTATGGGGGGCAGGGGAGAGAATGGATGTTGGAGACAATTGCAAGCCTCTGTCAATCAAATAGGGTGTCTTCTTAACACTCAGTGTGAGTCCTGCCTCTGCCTGAGCTTTGATCAAGGAAAAAGAAGTACAGACTGATCAATCTGATGCCGTGATGCACTTTTAAAGTCCAGTTTTACTAAACATTTCCTGGCAGGATATAGTTACACTGAATAATGGGTATGTTTTGTTTAAATATTGACTCTTTTATGATTAATTTAGATTTTAGCTGGACTATATAATCCTGGAGATGGTCACATTGATCCTTACTCTCTAACTATGGCCCTAGCTGCTGGGGCTAGGAAATATGGTGCCCTTTTAAAATATCCCGCCCCGGTGACTTCTCTGAAACCCAGGTCAGATGGAACATGGGATGTTGAAACGCCAGAGGGATCTATGAGAGCGAAAAGAATTGTGAATACTGCAGGTAAGCATCATATATACAAATATGATGTGTGTGTGTACATATATATATGTATATATATATATATATTTAAATTAGTGGGTTTTTTCGGGGCGCCTGGGTGGCTCAGTCGTTAAGCGTCTGCCTTCGGCTCAGGTCATGATCCCAGGGTCCTGGGATCAAGCCCCGCATTGGACAGGGAGCCTGCTTCTCCCTCTCCCACTCCCGCTGCTTGTGCTCCTGCTCTTGCTGTCTTTGTCTCTGTCAAATAAATAAATAAAATATTTTAAATAAATAAATTAGTGGGTTTTTTCAAGTGGCAAAGATATAAGACATGTGGCCATAGAGTAATGTTTTATACTAGGCACATTGTTGGGAAACACTGTAATGTTCCCCAGATGAACATTTTGTCTGTTTCTAAGCTCCATCACTTTGCTTTTGACGTGTGATGCCACTCTGCCCTTGTTTACACACACAGAAAGTTGGTGTTCTTCTCCATCCTGTTTTCTTCTCCTCCAGATCATGTTTTGTTCATGATGCTTTTTCCCTTCTACGTTCACTCTTTCTTTATACTAATAAAGTCTAATGTGCAAATTTGTGAGCATCCTTTTTGTTCTCAGTTTGCTTTTGGGGGAAGATCTAATCATTTGTGTTCTCTCTCATCCATTTCTGATTGGTTGACTCCAGTCAAAAAATGTTTAATCCTGGGGTGCCTGGCTGGCTCAGTTGGTTAAGCGTCTGCCTTCGGCTCAGGTCATGATCCCAGGGTCCTGGGGTCAAGCCCCTTATCGGGGTCCCTGCTCAATAGGAAGTCTGCTTCTCCCTCTGCCCCTCCCCCTGCTCATGCTCTCTTGCGTGCACGTGCTCTTTCTCTCAAATAAATAAGATCTTAAAAAAAATATATGTTTAACCCTTTTCCTCTTAGAACATTATTAAATATATTTCATAACCTTTTTTTTTTTTAATGTTGCTCTGTTACAACTTAGACTCGGAGTAGTGAAGTCAAAGGGATATTTGAGATAATCTAACAAGCCACTCATTTTCCACTGTGGAGACCAAGGTCCGGAAAGGTCATGTTACTTGGCAAAGCGACACAGTTATATTGGAACCAGGACTTGGACCTGGGTCTTTTGACTCCTGAGTTAATACACTTTCTAACAGGTCATTTACCTGTGAAGTCATTTTCAACTGTCACACATACAGAAGTGAGTTCTTGTGCAAATGAAAATGCTTATGCAGTCTAAACTGGGCTAATAATTTGTATTTACCTGTGGTTCATAGTGGTTAATTTAAAACCTAAAGTAAGCAGGAGGCAGTAGCTGATTTTCTTGTGGTCTGCTCTTTGAGTCACTGCTCAAATTATAAAATGAAAACAATCATTATTTATCAAGTCAAATGATATGCCCTGAGGACAGATCAGAAACAGGGACCCTTAAGTTCTTTCCTCTAAATTGTAACTTTTGATCGATGTTATCTTTTTTTTTTTTAACAAAACACTCAGTGGTTCTAGAAAAGTCATGTCTTCAATATTTAAGAGTTTAAAATAGTATTTCTGAATTATTCTAATCCATGCCCCCCATTGGAAAAGCATAAAAATCTCATGCTTTCTTCAATATCATTTGAAATTCACAATAATGTAAAAGGACTAAAAAATAAACGCAAAGGCATAAAACATTGCTTTGTTTTTGAGCCTCACCCTTCACCCCCCCAATCTCTATCTGAGACCACCCACCCATTACCATCCATAGTGACCACTGATCTAAATTCTGTTAGAAGATCTAAGATTAATCATTCATCTTTTTTTTCCCATGTAGTAAGGACTCTTTCTAATCTTGCAACTTTATGGTCTCACAGATTTATTACCTAAATACATTGGACCGTTTTTAGAGTGATAGCAAACTAAACAAACTAAACAAACACACTCTGACATCCATACCAGCACCCCGGCAGACATCGCTAATTGATCACTGCACTCATCTCTGACGGGCTTGGGCATGCTCCGCTATTTCTCTCAACATAGTGTGTCAGGCAACTACTCCCAACTGATACTTAGAGAAATCATGTAGAAGAACTTATTTAACACATTTATTTATCATTTTCCGAAAATGGTAAGCTTTGATTTACGTAATTCATTACTGCTGTAATAAATTTTTTCTTTACTGTGAGGAATAAGGAATCACTGAATAATTCTCAAGGAGATCTCACCTAAACAGTAAGTTACCAGATGAAGTTGTCTATGCAGCTATGAAATCTTGTGGTGTGATTGGAGGAGGGGAGGGCAATGGCAGGAGGTCCTGGAAAATGGCGCTGGCCTGGGAAAACAAATCCTGGGAATTAGGTTGATGGTGTGGCCCTGCATTTACCACTATGTGGAACCGAATTCCTGGGATTGTTCTCCAGGATGTCCTTCTTTGTCCTTTGCTCTTGGAGTTTTTTTTTTTTTTTTGGGGGGG